GGAAGGACTTTTGATTAACTGTTCAGCATATTCCGCAATTTAATGGCTTTAAAAAACATTAAGGTTTTATTTCTTGAGATTTTGTTGGGGATTCTTGTACTTCATGGTGTTGGCCAGCACGAAGACGGCTGGAAGGTCCAAAATGACCTCATTTGTTCATTATACTGCTGGCTCATAACTTCTTCATATGAGAGTCAGTGGGGTGCTTTGAGTGTCCTCAATGAACATGGTGGCTGGGTTCTAAGACTGTGTTATAAGAACAAAAATTAAAGCTGTGGACCATTTAGGGCATAGCATTTGAAGTTACACAGTGCTGTGTCCAAGAAAATCTATTGGATAAGGGAGATATAAGGACAGCTCATATTCAAGGGAATGGGACGCAGAGAACACCTCTCAGAGTGAGATGATGAAGAATCTGCAGCTGTGTTTAATACACTACTGTCCATAAATAATTCCATAAATCTTCCCTAAATAACTTACATATCTTCTCCACAGAAAGCACACTAGCCCTCTCCCCCAACATTCACACACCATCACATCAAATTCAGGCTTAAAGGCCAGGCTTGTGTCTTATAAATCAGGGCAGCATCCTTAAGATTTTCAGAAGGCGCTCCATGCAGCAGAGATATCTAGGAGGTTATCATTTAGGGTTTTATAGCTGTGCCCTTGCTTTTATTTTCACCTTGAGACCAAGTTTTGCTGGTAATAGTGCTCTGGATCTGATCTTTGGACCTGAGACCATTTTCCTTCTTTGACTATCTTTTGTTGAGTAGAGAAGGTTGCTAGGAATAAGAAACAGTTTTATTTCCATACCTAGACAATTCTGGATTGGAAATATTTCCTCTAAAGTCTGCTTACAATCTGGACAGTTTGTTCTTTAATGCATCTCTTTCTTGTAAAACTTTGATCATAGGTGGTTAAAAAAATGAAGTTATTAGTTGGTGCTTTCAATATTCTGCTGAAAAAATCTCCTACCCTAGATCCACAAGGTTGTTAGGTTCATTTTCTGTGTTCTATGTGATTTGCAGGTGATGGTTTAGCCTATTTTTCTGCCAATAAAACATATGAGTGCTATTTTATATCCTCCAATAACAATTTCCTCACTGACCTTTATACACCATTAATACTAATTTTACTACCCCCTTCAGACCTCCACCGCTTCCTTTTCCCAAAGCCAATGCCAGATGTTTTGTTATGGTAGTACCTCACTTCTAGGTACCAATTTTTGGTTTTGCTTATTTATTTTGTGTAACAAGCCATACCAAAACTTAGTGATTAAAATAATGATTCGCTGTATCTGATAATACTGTAGGATGATGAGGCAGTCTCATTTCGCTTGGTATTCATTGGGATGCTGGGGTGGCTAGAAGGTCCAACATGCCTCTATGCCACACTGGTACCTGGGCTGCCTGCTTGTTGCGGGGCTCAACTTGTGCTATTGACTGGGCCCTTGGCAGTCTCCACATTGATTCTTTAGGCTTCCTCACAGCAAAGGGGATGTTTTGAGAGGGAATGTTCTATGCATACAAATTCAGAATTTGCAAGTCTCTTAAGGCCCAGTCTTAGAAATTACTACACCCCCATTTCTGCCACATCCTGTTGATCCAAAAATATAACAGAGCCAGTAGAGAGTCAAAGGCAGGGAAACAGATGGGAGGAGTTGCTAAGTGTTTACAATCACTTTTAATTCATCATAGGATGCCATAAACATTTAAGTAGCCAATGGATCCTCAGTAAAGGAGTCTTTGAGGAAAATAATTTAATGAGTGAAAACCAAATCTCTGTCCATATGAGGAAGGATCATCAGATGAAGAAGAGTAAAAAGGATAGAGAAGCAGAATTAGTGAGGTAAAGGAAAAGCAAATATATCTGGGGCACACAAATCTGAGTTTTATGGAAAGAAACTGACATTATAGTCAAATTATAGAGGGAAGGCAAAAAAATAGAAATGTGTCACTACTATTTAGCAATTTCCTACCCCAAACTGTAAAGTAGTAATGGGTCTGTGAAACAACCATACCCAATATTCTAAAGAGTATGAAACTCTCTGAAGCCCCAGGAGAAAGTTATTGATAATAAACTGCAGAAAAAAAATAAATAAGTTATGTTACAGAATGAATTAAGACCATAGGAACAACTCTAGAAATCCTAGTGGAATCTGAGTTCTTCTGAACTTTAAGGAACGCCATTTCACTTTTCTTGGTTTCTGGTGATAACAGAATACATCATATATCCAATTTAGGTGAAAATTTTCTTTTTAGGAAAAGACCTCAGTTCTTTGATGCTTTCAGTGGCCTACATTATTATCTAAGTTACATTTAAAATGAAGAAAGTAACAGTTACATATTGAAATATTTATACCAGAACATAGCTTCCAGTAGCTGGATAATTCTTAGAAGGTATTGAGGCTGGAGTTGTGGCTCAGTGGTAGAGTGCTTGCCTAACATGTGTGAGGCACAGGGTTCGAGATTCTCAGCACCACACATAAATAAGTAAAATAAAGGTCCATTGACAACTAAAATAAGTAAATATTCTTAGAATGTATAAACAGAAGCCAACATCAAATTCTCCAACTTTCATGGTTTTTAAAAATACTTTCCAACACCCCACTCAAGTAAGCAGGCCCTAAAATAAAGTAGGGCCAAACCTAGACACCCTGCAGTCTCTGGTAAACCACACCATAGCATTCCATTTCTTCTCTTCAGACTTCCACAGGTGACCTACCTGTCCCAAGAGCAGAATTATATGTCCTATTTAATCCAGGAAGACCCCACTGAAAACAGGGTTCATTTTCTATAAATAAAGAAACAATTTCAGACACATTTTAGTGGCTTCACTATGATCATGGGCTTAGAACTAAGGGTCCTATTTTGAAAAGATCTGGGAGCTTAGTGGCATACATTCTGGATATCTAGCCTGATTAGTAATAGGTCTTCCCATAAAACAAATGTGAAGTTGTAAATAGTTGGAGAAATTTTCATTAAATTATAAATTTAAATGAAAGACATATTTTAGCTTTTGTCAGATCTAATAATACTTAAAAACATAATATTTATTAATTGCAAAGGCTAGATACCATGAAGGCATATGAAAAGAATATTGTCTCGAGCCATCTGTGGGCTGTGTGTGGACTGTGCTGCACATTGTAGCCTAGTAGATAGGATAATCTGGTGTCTAGGAACTTCCAGTAGACATTTCCTCTGGTTGACTGCTCAGAGACACTGTGAATTTCTATTCCACTCTGCCATGTCCCACACAGCCTCTCTAAGATGGGTGTGACCTGCCAAGATGTCAATTAACCTGTTGACTGCAAGATATCAGGAAGCAAGACTCTACCCTTGAAACCTTACCCCTGTCTTTGATGTACTCCCTTAAATAAACTACAGGATCCATTTTCTAGTTGTCTAGCTCCCATTCCTGTGCGGACTAGACTATCAGGGCTGTCTTTAAAACTATCCGTTCTGACTTTGTCTTTTGATCTTTTCTAATTATTCTAGACTTTAATTTCTTAGGAGGCTTATCCCTCTGAGCAGTCAAGAATTCCCTGGTGAGGTGCTGGACACCCTGTGATAGAATATGAGGGCTTCTGTCTCCTTTCCCAGGATCATGATCCCACTGTAGAGAAGAAATGCAGAGTTGAATGTGGCATACCACCTAATACTGTCATTTCAGTTCCCAAATGAGTGGGATGATGGGGTAAATCTAATAAATATTACATTTGGTTCTACTCAAATGCCCAGAGAATAGCTGGAACATCACTGAATGGCATCATCAACCAAAAACAGAGGGAGATTTTAGTCTGTTCATGCAATAAATACTTAGAAAGCCTGTCATGTACCAGGAGTTCTAAGAGTTAGAAAAATAAAGCTGTGCAAGACAGACCAACTCTCTGCTCTTTTGGATTTCACTATTGTGAGGGAAGAGACAATAACTAGTGCACAGCACAATACAGATCAGAAATGCTATAAAGACTAGAAAGCTGCTGTAGACAGAGGTCTAGAAAGCCTCTTTAGAGGAACTATTGTAGATGGAGAATGAAACAAAGCCAATCACAGGACAAGTAGAAGAGGCTCATAGATGAGTAAGGATTAGAACAGAAACCACTCTGGCTGGGATGTCAGGAGCCTGGGGAAAGGAGGAGAGTGATAGGCTTCAGCCTAGGGAAAGAGTCTGTATAACAAATCCAGGAGTGATGGAAGAGCCACAGAGGGTTGGTCAAGTAGAGGGTCAAGTAGGGGGTGGCAAGAGATGTTATCAGCTTTAAAAAATTTACAGTCAGTTTGAAGAATCAGCATGGAAATATGGACATACCCCAAAATTCAAAGGATTTTTACCTTCATCTATAAAAAGAAGAGTGTTCAAAATGTAGTAGGTAACAGACCCACTATCCTCACCACTGTTCACCTGGGCTGTATGTCCAGAACTGGGGGGTGCTTTAAGACACATGCTGTAATCACAACACTGGAAAGCTGTGCTATTTAACACCACGCACACTCATCATTCCGCACACTCATCATTCATCGTGTCAAGGTCAAGAGCCCTGCCACAGAGCTAACTTAAGGTTAATCTTGCACAATTAGAAGAAGACTGTCTGTAGAAAGCACAGAAGATAGGGCTTGTTTATTTCTGATTTTGCCTATACTCAAGGAAAGCACAGCCACTCTTTATTCACAGAAAAATGGTGTGTTGATTCTATGCATTAAAAATGCCACCTCAGACAAAACTCAGGAGACAGGGACTTAATTCCTCAGATCTTTAATGTCAAGAAGGTGACAAATACCCACCCACCACACACACACACACACACACACACACACAAACATACATGTATATTTTCCTGCTTGCAAAACCCACAAAGGACAGGAAAATGACATTTTTATTAAAATACATTCTGATTTCAATTTTTAGCTTCACTGGTTTAAAAACATTAAAATGATTTTACTCAAAACATCTGTAAGAATATCAATCTCTTTCTGTACTTACTTGCCCCAAGCTACCAACCTAATTGTAATTATTTTTACATGTGTTCACAATTCAGGACGTTAATCTTACCCTATGAATGCTGGTCAACCAGAAACTCTGCAATTAGTTTCAATTTGAGGAATTCCTAAAGAGAAATCATAAACATATTGTCATATTTTATGTATCAGAGGACTACAAGATAATTTATCCACTTATATGGTTCTAAAATTTCTAACATATATTGTAATTTTATGAAACAAAGATGAAAAAGACAACTTCTTTAAAAAGTGAGGGGTGTTAAAGACATCACCTTTGGGTCCTCTCGAAAAAGTTGTGGACTGATACCCAGGGAGAGAAATCACATCCCAAATTACACATCTCAGCACAACAGTAATTCTCAAGGCATCCAATTTTTAGTGGAGAATGAAATGAGTATTATTATTGAGGCACCAGTCACTTTACTATAGAAAACTTCACTGAAAACATGTGTACTTCTTAGGATACACAGGGGACAAGGCAGAAAAACACTGGGTGTCTAGGACAGTTTTCTCCATCCAGCTTTGACGTTGATTTTGTTGTTTGCTTACCCACTATTTTTGCAATTACACCATTGTTCGATCCAGTGGCACAACACTTAGGTCTGTGTTTGTCTCCTATTATATATTATGGGCTTTCCTGTTGTTTTAAGTTTCTCTTAAACATCATTTTTGATAGAAGCGCGATAGTTTGTGCATGGATATGTCATAGTTTACAAACTCTCTTCCCTACTGGATCATAGATTCTCTTTCTTAAATTACTAACAATGCTGTCAACATCTCCATACTCTGTTCATGTGATTTCTTTTACACAGAATTCCAAAACAAGAGCACTGAGTCAAAGAGCATGAACCTTTTAAGCCTCAAATTACAACAACTTGTTTTCCCAAGAAAGTTATACCGATTATCTTTCTTGCAAACAATATATCACAGCATTCTCAATAGATTTGAATTATTACTTAATACTCCTCACCAAAATACATACACACACACACATACACACACACACACTCAAAAGAAAACAAACAAACAAAAAACCTTTGCCAACTCCACACATGAAAAAAAACGACCTTACTGTTGTTTTATTTTGCATTTCTTTGAGGTAGGCGGATCATTTTCCATCATGTTAATAAATGAGTGTCAGTCCTCTTTTCTGTTTAGATTTAAGCCCGAGGAATATTTTGCTGAGAAGATATAAATGTAGAACTTAAAGAAAGTGCTCATAATGACTACTTGTCATCTCAGGGGGAAGCCAGGGCTGTCAAGCAAGAGGAACAACACAATGTGGCTCTGTTTCTTTATACAGGCAAAAAATGAAATCATTCAAACTAATTTTAGAAACTGTAGCAAAAGTTATCCTCTTTCTTCCTCCTCAGAAGAACACAAAAGTACCAAGCTGGAAGAATGAAATGTAAAAATACTAAATGGCAATGCTTCTCAGAATAGAATACATCATCCATATTAGGCAGGATAAAAGAGGACAAAGACTGTCACAGCAATTCTGACAGACCCAGCTGCTGACACAGGCGGCTGCTTCAGTGGCTCTCCAACATGCTATGCTAATGAGTGTTACCAAACTAGCTTCCTCTACCCCCTCACAGAGGCATTTTCTCCCCAGGGGCAGGACACACGACATGTGCATTTTAACTTAAAAAGTCAATTCTAAGGTAACCTAAAAATGTGTCCTGGAAGGTTTGCACATAAGAAGCATAACACTGAAAATTTCCTTCTTTTTTTTTTAAAGAGCTCCTTTCCTGAATTCCCAATAAGGAAATCTCCTAAGTGACTGAAGATTAAGCATAGCAGGTGACAATCTGCTTTCCCATAGAAAAACAAAAGGGCCCAAGGTTTTCACTGTGAAAGCAAATGAGTTTAGATGTTCCTACTTCCTTCTGATAAATACAGATAGAGGAGGTGGACCAAACTTAGGCTGGGATAGAGCAAACAATTACGGGAATCTGAGACGGGGTTTCCATTTGTGTGTTTGTCTTACTGTGAGGTTACATAAAATCTTAGGAAAGATTTAGCAAGATGGCAAGAATATTTTTTTGTTGTTGTTCATTTTGAGGTGCTGGGGATGGAACCCCAGGGTCTCCCACATGCTAGGTAAGGGCTCTACCACTGAGCTACCACCAGACTGAAGTCAAATGACCAGAGATGGGTAAATGTAAGGTCCTACAAGGTCACTTTGCAAGTCTGTTCTGCCAGGAGTCATCGCAATATCGTACTCATTCACTCTGATTCGTGCTATCTATAAGTTTTAGGCTTTAAGTTACGCAAAATCTAAGTCTCCCCTATCATCAATTTGAAAATTTTAAAACCAAGAACTTAAAAGAGGGACTTTCCACTTCATCATCTGTTCTGTTCTGGAATTGCCTCTACAAGTCACTCTGACCATCACAGACTGAATTCATGGCTCCCCTTTCTCTGTTCCAGGGACACATTTACAAATATTTCTCCCACACTTCTTTATGGTATTTGTTAAGCTATTGCCTCAAATCCTTGAGAGCTGGGGCAGTGTCTTTCTTATCTATATTCCAGGGATTTATCCCAGTGTGTCTTTCCAGGGCTGGATTAAAGAGAGTATTGAAAGTGACTGGTGGGCAAGATAAGGAATCTGGCTATTTTCTTAGGGTTAGTTGAGATCCTGGGAACTGGTGAAAGAGGGGCTCTTTTGCTAGCCTCTTTCCATACAATTTTTTTTTCTCTTTTTAAAATATTGTGAATAGCTGGGCATAGTGGTGCATACCAGTAATCCGAGTGGCTTGGGAATGTGAGGCAGGAAGATGGTAAATTCAAGGTCAGCCTCAACAAATTAGTGAAGCCCTAACACGAAATAAAAAATAAAAAAAGGGCTGGAGATGTAGCTCAGTGTTTAAGCACCCCTGGTTTTCATCTCTAGTAATAAATAAATAAATGTTGTGAACAAATATTTAAAGTATAATGGTCTAAAGTGACATTGAATCTTTAGCCGGCCCAGAGTAAGAAAAGATTAGCTTACCTAGGGAGCTCCCATATCTGATTTTGCTCATCTCAGCACCATGTATATTCAGTAAGTCGCGTTGAGTGAATACATGACCCAGACCAGGTTTCATTACCCAGTTAGAAACCAGGAGTATGGAAGAGGACTAGCTTTCATATCTGTGAACAGAATTGGTGCCTACAGACTGTGGGACTGGAAGGGTGACAAAAAATGTGGTAGGGACAGAGCCTCAGGTGTTTTCATGACCCATGGCAGGTGCAGAGATCAGCAGCAGAGGTTAAGCCTTCATACTTTAGGAAGAAGAAAAATTCATACTTGCCAATTTATACACCACACATGACATCTCACATATCTGAATGTAGGACTGCTGTCAAATTCAGCATGACTGGCTGCTTTATAATGACTGCCAGTCATTTTGAATTAGTAATGGACCACTGGATAAATGCCACAGCATTTCTAGGTGACCTTAATATCTTAGTAATTTATGATTTCAAAACTACTTTTTGCAACAGCTAGTCTTATAATGCAACAGGAATAAGGCTAAGATAGAATTAGCAAGTTATCACCCAAATGAGAATGAAATACATTGTACTGTTTGTTCTGTGCTTGCTTTTTGTCCTGTTTGCTCCTCCTGAGATCATAAGCTCTGGGAGGGCAAGGATATTTCTTATCTTCTAAGGCCTGCCACATATTAGATGCCCCATAAATATTATAATTCCACCATGCCATGAGCTATGATCAAGCTGACAATACTGCAACATATTCTCAATAATTACCTGTGCATGACAAGGGGTGGTGGGAAACAGAGAGGGGAAGGCTAATATTTACTGGGTACTAGGTAAGGTGAGGTGGGTATTATGATCTCAGCTATGAAGGAGAGAAAGCTGATGAGGATCAGAGGAACTAAGAAACTTGCTCAAGCTCATAAGCAAACTCAGAATTCACACCAGTTCTGACTAAAAGCCATCTGCTACATGGCCTCTCCAAAAGCTATATAAAACTGAGTTTTTATATAGATTGTGACATCTCTCTTTTTTCAAATTTCTACAATACATCTTTTAGAGAAAAACAGGAGACAATTTAAAAATGAGATTTACGCTGTTTTCCTCGTCATTGCTCAGTATAGTGAAACAGAATGAACAAGAGCTTCTTCACCCTGCCTGCCTATTAAATAATTAAGATTGACATGATATTTAGCCGGGGCAAGGATGCATCCTGCTACACAATCTCACAGAGAAACATTTACCCACCAATTTAATAACAAGATGAATAACTTGAATTTAATCTGTATTTAAATGATAATGTTTTACATGGCTTTTCTTCCTGGTTTCCACCAGGAAGTTAAAATAGATTAACACAATATCACCTAAACATGACAGTATTTTTGAATAGCTTAATGAAGGAGCATACCTTCAGTATGTTAGTTACTTTGTTAGGCTTAGATTTTATTCTGAATAGCATTTGAGAGACCTGGAAGAGAGGTCAGTTGAATGGATAAAGGCAGAATTCTGTTTCTGTCATTTACCACCTGTGTTTGATCCTAGCTATGATAAGTATCAACTTCCTCATCTGTAAAATAGTAATAATGATGGCTTTTACCAAGTGGAACTGTTTTAAGAATAAGGGAATTATAATTCAAATGATTAGCACAGGAGCAGTTTCTAAATAAGCACTTGAAAACATAACTTATTAACAGAATTGTGTCATTATCTAAAGTTGGTCCTTTAAAGGTTAGCTTTCAAGTGTTATCATGTGAACAGAAATCAGACTTGATATTAAGGAGTTTGGTTGTCCACGTAACTTAGTGATTTCCAACCTTGGTTTGCAATATATTTGAGTCCAGTTACCAGAAAGTGCTGTGAAATATGTCAGTTTTCTCAATTGTTTACTCTATGGACCATAGGGAAGATAAAGTGTTGTGAAACTAAAACAATACACCAAAGCAACATTTAAAGAGAGTTAACCTGTACAACGCATCACTTTCTGATACAATATCTGCCAGTCCAGTCAAGACTTCTATCACAGACAAGTCAGACTTGACTAGTACTAACCAAAAGCAAGGCTGTTTCAAAAATTTATAATCTCAGTTGCATAACAATATGAATGTGCTTAATGCCACTGAATTGT